ATAAGAGCAAAAATAAACTATTGGGACTACATCAAAAATAAAAGGCTCTGGGGCACCTGAGTGATTCAGTTAGTTAAGAGTCTGACTCATGGTTTCAGCTCAGGTTATGATCTCATGGTTTGTGAGTTCAAGCCCTGCATCAGGCTCCGCACTGATGGTGCAGAGCCTGCCGGGGATTCTCTCCCTATCACCCCTTTCTCTCTACCTGATCCCTGCTCACATGAGTTCTCTCTCAAAATAAATAAATAAAAACTTAAAAAAAAAATAAAAAGTTTCTTCTGCACAGCAAAGGAAACAATGAACAAAACTAAAAGACAACTACAGAATGGGAGAAGATAATTGCAAATGACATATCCAATAAGGGCTTAGTATCCAAAACACATAAAGAACTTATAAAACTCAACACCCAAAAAACGAATAATTCATATAAAAAATGGGTAGAAGACATGAACAGACATTTCTCCAAAGAATACATACAGATGGCGAACAGACCCATGAAAAGATGTTCATCATCACTTACCATTAGGGAAATGCAAATCAAAACTACAATGAGATATGGCCGCACACCTGTCAGAATGGCTAAAATCAACAACAGAAGAAACAACAGGTGTTGGTGAGGATGTGGAGAAGAAGGACCCTTCGTGCACTGTTGGTGGGAATGTGAACTGGTGCAGCCACTCTGGAACACAGTATGGAGGTTCCTCAAAAACTTAAAAATAGAACTACTCTGATCCAGCAATCACACTACTGGGTATTTACCCAAAGAGTAAAAAAACACTAATTCAAAGGGATGCATGCACCCCTATGTTTATTGTAGCATTGTTTATAATAAACAAATTATGGAAGTCGCCCAAGTGTCCACTAACTAATGAATAGATAAAGAAGATATGAGATACACACACACACACACACACACACACACACACACACTGGAATATTATTCAGCCATAAAAAAGAATGAAATCTTGCCATTTGCAACAACGTGGATGGAGCTAGAGAGTATAATGATAAGCAAAAAATCAGTCAGAGAAAGACAAATACCGTATGATTTCACTCATTTGTGGAATTAAAGAAACAAAACAAATGAGCAAAGGGAGGGGGAAGGAAAGAGAGACAAATCAAGAATATACTCTTAAGTATAGAGAACAAACTGATGTTTGGAGGTGATGGAGGGAAGGGTTAAATAGGTGGTGGGGATTAAGGAGTGCCTTTGTGATGAGGACAGAGTGATGTATGGAAGTGTTGAATCACTATATTGGACACCTGAAACTAACATAACACTGTATGTTTACTAACTGGAATTAGAAAAAAACAAAAACAAAAACAATGCATCCTGCAGGCTTAATTGTTGAGTGGGCACATCTTCATTTTCTACTGGCCCACCAGAAATGGAATTGAATCATGCCAGAATGGCCAAATATTCACTGCAGAAGAAAAAAAATATATGACCACCAGTTAGGTGGTTTGTTTTGTAATTTATATGCTTCCTTAAAGTCTCTGTTTCACATATATGCATGAATAACATAATACTAAATGTTTTATCACATATTTTCCTATCGAGCTATATTATTGCTAGCATATGGCTACTAGCTACAGGAGTCCTATGAAGTTCCAAATGGGGAAGTACCTTCTGCTTCAGGCATGTCCAAATTTGAAGAGCTCAAGATGAATCAATGCATAGAACTAGGGTTTCTCATTTAAAGATTTGAAAAAAGAAAGAAAAAGTAAAACAAAACAACATCTTGCCTATCACAGCTACTCAAATGACTAAGTATTTTCCTTTTCTTCCAAAATTATTTTCAAAGATTTATTATTTAGTGCTTTTAACACATTTTCAATTACCACACAATAATCATTTACTTATATGAAAATGATATGAGTTGGAAATCAAGGCTAATAGGTGAAACTGGAACAATATGGTTTTAAAACAATATAGGGTGGCACAAAAACAGACACATAGACCAATGGAATAGAATAGAAACCCCAGAACTAGACCCACAAACGTATGGCCAACTCATCTTTGACAAAGCAGGAAAGAACATCCAATGGAAAAAAGACAGTCTCTTTAACAAATGGTGCTGGGAGAACTGGACAGCAACATGCAGAAGGTTGAAACTAGACCACTTTCTCACACCATTCACAAAAATAAACTCCAAATGGATAAAGGACCTGAATGTGAGACAGGAAACCATCAAAACCTTAGAGGAGAAAGCAGGAAAAGACCTCTCTGACCTCAGCCGTAGCAATCTCTTACTCGACACATCCCCAAAGGCAAGGGAATTAAAAGCAAAAGTGAATTACTGGGACCTTATGAAG